GCTTAAGGCAGGACGCGCACTGCTTAAAGCCATGGGTCCCTGGCATCCCCTCCTCGGCCGGGGAGAGGAGTAGGGAATAACAGTGCCCCTTATAATCAACTTGTACCAACTATTTACACTAGAAACTAAAACCGACCAGAAACGTAACTAATTACACAAAGCTAGGGGTAGACTGATTGTCTAGAGCGCTTCAGCTACTGTCATGGGCGGCAAGAAGGAACTGAGGGGGTGAGGGGCCAGCAGGGGTATGTAGGCACCGAAATGCCAGCGCCACTCCAGGGGGCTCCCCACGCTGGCCCTACAGATACCGCCAGGGGAAAAAGGCTCCGGAACTCCGTGCACGCGGCGCGCACACACCTGATTGGAATGGACATGAGCAAGCACTCGAAGAACTGGGGAGTGAGGGCTGCTTGTGTCACTCCTTGCTGGCCAGCAGGGTGCAGACATGCTCTCTGGGGCTGGGGAGGGACCTGAGAGAGGATCCCAGGCTGGGGCTGTGGGCAGCCCTGTCCCTGAGCGGACACTCGCGGCGGTGCCCCAGAACCTGTCATATTACAACAGCATCTCCTGAGCCTCAGCTGGGGGGGCTGTGACCGGGAAGCAGGACAGTGACTGGGGTGGGGATAGCTGGAAGCAAGTCAGGCTGGGAGAACTGGGGTGAGGGGCAGGTCCCTGGCTCTGGGCTCCCATGTCCCCACAAGGGCGATCACTGAGCACTCCTGGTTCTGGTGCATGGGGTGTCCCTCCGGCTAAGCCCCCACCCCTGCCATCCCGCATGCTGGATGCTCTGAGCCAGGGAGTCTGAACTGGTGGGAGCCCCCGGCCCAGCTGCATAAGGAGCAGCACCAGCACGGTGCCCCCACATCTCTGACAATGGGGACACCCCAATATCTGTCAGGGGGCATGTGTATCGGAGCCCTAACGACACACGGGGCTGAAGGAGGTTGGTTGTTTTTCAGCACTTTAATTAGCAAAAGAAAAGTTAATTATAAAATGAACAGAGAAAACAGCTGCGTGGGAAGGACCTTCCCAAACATCTGGGGGGAGGCTAAGCCCCCGCGCCCACACGCAGCACCACTATTTACACAGATACCGGGGCTACACTGACATTTCTTACACCAGGACAAAATGTACACCGAACCCCACTGAGACACAATAAATTATTCAGTATTTAAGGCACGGCGCCACCTGGAAAGGGGGGGCTGGGAGGGGGGGTCCCTGGGACCAGGGGTGCTG